CACAATATTTATGCACATATTATAATATAAATGCCTCAAAATGGAATGAATCCGGTTGTACTGCACCTCAATATAATAATCAATTTAATCGTTATGAATGTAGTTGTAATCATTTATCTACTTTTGCTCTAGTTTGGTCACCATATTTTGTTCCATGTAATAATGCTACTCAAGTACAATTAACCAATGGAACTTGTGTACTCAAATCTGACGGTCAAGTCTGTTTAAAAGAATTCTATATTTTTTTTTGTTTTTCATTTTGTGTATAATTTATTTAGATATTGGCAGCTAATACATTGCGAAGTAATACTACAAATTCGACTATTATTGCTGATGCTCTTTCATTATATATAAGTTCAGTTGCCAATTCAAATACATCATTAAATTCGACATATACATTAACACCGAATGACATTGATGTTTCTCTTACTAAAATAAATGCTTCTAATTTAACAATAAACACTAATGATTCAATACTTGTGGTACAAAAACCTGAACAAGGAGGTACTGTATTCGTTTTGGGTGCTTCATTTAGTCGTGGTATTGGTGGTCAAATTGTCAATACTGCTAATAAGGACAATATTACAGATTCAAACTTATCAAGCGCTGCTATCATTAGTGATAGTGCATTAATTGGTGCTACATCTCTGAATATGCTTATTATTGATAAACCTACAACATATGAAACGTTAGATAATTCAACGAATAAAACTCTTGCATCATCTGTTATTGTTGTAGCAGTAAAGAGAAATAGTTCTGTATCTGTACCGACGAATATTACTCTATATTTTCAAGTTTTAAACGAATATAAACCGAATACAACCGTCGATTACTTGTGTTCATTTTATGATACAATTAATTCAACATGGAATGAATCTGGTTGTAGTATACCTCGATATAATAGTGAATTTAATCGATATGAATGTAGTTGTAATCATTTAACTTCATTTGCTCTTATTTGGTTACCTAGAACACCACTTACTTCTTATCTTGATGCACAAGATATTGGTTCACTTGTTTGTTTATCAATATCAATTGTTTGCTTTTTAGTTACTATTATTCATGCTAGTATAATAAGAATTCGTGATCCAAAAATGGGTTTTAGATCATATGATTTATTTCCTTTAATATCTTCTGCAAGTACAACAATTCTTTTTATATTTTATATAGCTTTAGGACTGACAACATATACAAAAACATCATCTATAAATGAAACAAAATGTTTTTTAAGTTCAAGTGTATTAATGTTTTTTGTTTATTTCTTTTTAATTTTAATGTTTTGTGCTAAGACTAGTGTTGGTTATTTTAATTATCTTCGGTTTGTTTGTTTATTTCCACAACCATCAGTTCGAAAATTATTTATTATGCTTGGTGTATCATTTTTTGTTTCTATTGCATGGGTTGCATTTGCAGCTGGTTTTAATTCTAATTCATCATTTCATATTACACAATTATATCCATATAAAATTTGTTGGTTTACTCGTGATGTTATTTATTATTTTGTTACAATACCTGTTTGTCTATTTCTTTTAATTAATATAATTACATTTATTCTTGTTGCTCATCGTATATTAAATCATGTACGAAATGCAACATCACCACATCAATCATATGAACGAATGAAACGATGTGTACTTATTTTACTTTCATCATGTGCAACTCAAGGTATTGGTTGGCTTTTTGGTCCATTTTTGACATTTGCTACACCAGAAGCCGGAAATATTTTAGGATGGTTTTTTATTATATTTAATGGTTTAGAAGGTTTATGGTCGATTATTTTATATATAATAATACGTTCAAAACATATGGATGAACAAAAACGTACTATAGCTGCAAGAGAATTTAGCAAAACAAAAAGTACAATAATAGATAAATATAAAAAATCATCTATTCAAGAAGATCGTAATGAAAATAATATTGATATAGAAGAAATTGATATAAAACAACGAAATATATCAAAAGAAGAATCAAATTTATTTGAAGATTCTGATAATTTAAAAGATAGACGTTGGCCTAATTATGATGATGATGATGATGATGATATTACTAGAGCATAGTGTTTAATTGATAAGACTTATTAAAAATTCATTTTTTTGATATTTAAAAATTTTATTCAAGAAAAAAAAACAACAATTGAAAAGAAGATTTGTATATGTTCTTTTCAATATATAATAACATTGCTTAGTTAATTATTTGTATGTTGTTTTTTTTTTTCTTCATTGAACATAATACATCTATAGACGAGATAACAATCTTTTATTGTTTATATTTTTATCTTCATAGTTCTTCTTAAATAATTATTTATTTATTTGAATTTAAATTAGTTTATTTTCTTATTCGTATATTTTATTTTACTAACAAGATTAATATTTGTATGTATTAAATCATTTTTTGATTGAAACAATATTTATTTTATGAGTATTAGTAAGTAAAAGTAAAGTATAGAATGATTTTTTTTTTTTTTTGGATCTTTATTCTTCAATTATTAAAATTTTACTGATGAGACAATGTAAAACTATGGACATAATTTGTTTTTATACTTGAGAAAATATCCGAATAGAAAATACTGAAAAAGTTATAATTTGTTCAATGAACTAATCTTATTAGAGAATTAATTGAACGGGGATGATACATACTGTTTTGAGTTCATAAGAGAGTCTCGATAAGACTAGAAAAACTTTTAAAAAATTCGTGTCTATGAATCTTTGAAGCTAAGTTATAACCATTTTACTGAAATTTTGATGTAGTTAATGTCTTTAGGAATATTTTGAAAATTTTAGAATATTCCCAGAATTGTCAGATCTATTCGGGGACACAATTTCAGATCAAAATTTCGTCATTTGATTTTTGGAGAAATATCTAAAGCGCGATAGAAAATTCATAAAAACGATCATAACTCAACTTCAGTGAACCATGGATACGAATCTTTTTAGGAGTTTTCTAGTCTTATCAAGAGCTTCTTATAAACTTAATATGAGTTCAAACGGTAAGTATCAGTTTGAGTAGTAATGTTATTGTTATATAAATTTTTAAGTCGAACGATGATCTTTCCTATGATTTAAATGAGATTACAGCCTTTATTGAAGAACTTAAGTCTGGCAAATCAAACCATTCTAGACTTTTCTATTAATCATTTCGTTTTGATTGGAAAGCGATTTCATACTTGAAGAAATTCTCATATTAATTTGAATTAAACAAGTAATATATATTTAATTAATATATATATGATATTTTATTGAAATATTTATGTTCGTGAAAAATACTAATTTATAAGTCTTATTGAAATACTATCATAGAAAGATAGTAGAATTTTTAATGATGAAAGTTTTTTTTTTTGCTATTGATTATTTAACAAAGAACTTTTTATAATATTATTATCTAATATGTTTTTGTTTTTTCAATCTTCAATGTTCATTGTTACATCATTTTTTTATATTGTAAAATAAAAAGTATCTATTCATGTTGCTATATCTATATAAATTTTGTATTAATTATAGGCGAAACAATAAAAACTAAGATATATAAATGTTATTACTTATATTACGTAAAATTAAGGAAAAAAAGGAAGAGAACGAAAAAGCTTCTCTGTATTATATTGATATAAAACGTATACTTATAAAGTAATATTTTATGACTGATATTTATAGAATATAATGTTAACATGATAAGATTTTTGTCAAATCGTATCGAATACTAACAAGTGGTTCATAAAAACAATGACCCTAGCAGTATTAATGAACTTTTTAGAGAAGCATCAAAGACTTAATTTCTTTGCAACTTTGCGAATACGATTATCTTCAGCATTCAGACGCTTTGAGTCCTATAGAACAAAATTTTGTTGTTTTTGTAGAGTAGTTATTCGAAATACAGAAGATTCTTAATATATTTTTATAAATAATCAAAAGTAAAATAGTTCTGAAAATAATGATATGCACAAAATAAAAGAAAAAGAGTTGTGACAATTTCAATCTTATTGATTAACAATAATAGTTCAGTCTTCTATCATTCTGAAGATTTGATTAGAGCTAGTTTTAGACTAGTTATCGATTGAAGTCATATATGATTATAAAAATAACTGATAAAACACATTGTAAAAGATGAGTTTGATTTAAAAAAAAAAGAATTTTGAAAGTGATCTATTCGTTTTATTTGATTTAAACAAATACGACATGTGATTCTATTCAAGAATAGTTTCTTTCCTTTCATGACTTGCAGTTTTTGTTTTCTTTTCTGATAGCCATTCTATAGTTTGAACCAGTGAAAACTGTTTTTTTTTTCAAAAAGGAATTTTATCTCATACATTTTGATCCAATGAACTGAAACTTTGTTGTGTGACAACTAATGTCCGTCCAGAAAAGAAAATGGTGGGTGGGTATTTTTTGAATAACTTTTGTTAGGAGCAAGATAGAGAGCTGCGATTTTCACCGTTGGAAAGAGGAGATAATGACGCATCGAATTGTATAATATAGGCTTTTCCAGAAGGTTTTTTTAAAAGTTTTTTTAATCAATTTAAAAAAAAAATGAGTTCCGATTTTATGGAAAAAATACAAAAAAGGCATTTTTTTTTTACAGAAATTAATAGACAAATCGGCTAAGAATTTCAACTAGGATACTTCTAACTTCTCAACAGATAGATCTAAACGTCTTGTATAATTTGTTGATCTTCTGTTAACGATTCAAATACACATGAAATTATTGAAAAATTATTTTAGTCACCTTACGGAATATGTCGGTTTTCGAAAAACGTCGCTTTAAGTCTTTGAAAAAAAGCTATGTGAAATTATCTTATAATATACAATTCGATACGTTTTCATCTTTTCTTTCCAACGGCGAAAACTACAGCTCTCTATCTTATTCCTATTAAAATTTATTCAAAAAATACCCACTCGTCTTCTTTTTCTGAATGAGCATTAGGTCAAAGAGAAGAATATATACATTCCGATTTGAGCTTACGAGGAAAGTCCTTCAACTGTCTAATCGCTTTTGAATCTAAACTATATGCATTATATAGTATTAAATTAGCTATGAATCTTTTGAAAAGAGTTTGTACCCAGTTTCTAGGTCTACATACCACAAATAAGAAAAATGCAAAATACTTTTGCCTTTTTTGCTACTTTTTATGACTATGAATATCTATAGCTCTGAACAAATGATTGACCTGACGCAAATGTTTTGTGCTTTTTGTAATATTGACTACCTGTAAAATAGGATTAGTCTATGGCTAGTGATACTGAGACTTTAAGCACAGTATGTCGTGAATACATATCGAACAAGTCAGTTACTCAATCATGACAGTTTTACACACTAAGATATAATCTATTTTAATAGAAAAATTTAAATAATTGTTATTGGTTTGCAAATATGTGAAATAGTACTGTAGAAATTGTTTACTTATTTTATCTTTTGATAAATTAAATTTGAGACATTCTTAATCAATTAATAAATGAATTATGACGATTTTTTTGAAAAATTATTATTGATGTATTTTTTTTTTAAATTAATATAATTATATTTATTCATGTAGTTCAATATAGAAACAATTTTATTGAATATATTAGCGAAAAAATGCGAAAGTATATTAATATTAAAATCAAATTTTATTTTTTTTTCAATAAAATTCATTCACTGGAAATTCTGGATTTAAATGAAAACAGAAAAAAAGAAATTTTTTTTTTTTTTATTATTTTCATTGTACATGAAAAATTCTTAAATGATAAAAGTTAACAACTGAAGTTTGTAGAATATAGTGTAATGTTGTAATAGAAAGCAAAAGAAAAGAAAATCGATTCGTTTCAAAATCAATAATCGTAAAAAGATTCGATTTCTGTCTATCAAAAAAACATGAGAATAAAAACATCAAGGATTTTCATCAAAGCATTTCCTATGAAATAATCATCTAGAATTATTATTTATGTAAATATATTTATAATATGAAATATACAAAGATTCTAATACGAATTATCAAGTAAGAAATGAAATCATTTAAATATCTTTTGAATTTTTTATATTCTTAAACTTCATCAATAAAGTCTTGCTAATTATAATAGAAGAGACAAAACTTTTCTCATATCAATGGAATATCAAGAGAAGAAAAATAGCTTGAAACTTATGATTTTCATCATTCGAAAGAAAAATGTAGAAGAAATTTTCAAAAAAAAAAAAAGAAACTTTTTATAACTTATTTCATTCTGAGATTATTTTACTAGAAGTTTTGAAATTGGTTAACTGATCGTTAAATTACTCGAAATTATATTGAGATTTCCTATCAGTTAATAACAAAATATTTTTTAAAAGACATGTTTATTGAAGAGTTATTCAAAAGATATAGGAATCAATATTTTGTACCGTCTTTCTAAATTCCATGAAAACTGCGAAATTGTTTTGAAGGTGTGTTTCTCTTTTTTATTGTGTCATACCGTTTATAACGTTATTATGCAAAAAATAACTTATATACAATTCGAAAGAAGAAAAAAAGCTCTATCTTTTGGTAACAAAAAGGTTTTTTTTCAACATTCTTCTATTGAAGAAAAAAAAGGGGATGAACATTTTGTACCATTACTTTTGCATCGTATATAGTATTAAAACTAAATACAAATACTAACATTGGAATCAGTGTCAACGAATACATCAAATTCAATACAGGTTAGAATGACCAGTAGTCAGTTGACAAATTTCAAGGCTTCTAATAGAAACGTTTTAGTGGTTCAGAATGGAATATGCTTAAAAGTTTGATCTTGTTTAGATTTATAGAGAAAAGATTTCGTTATCAATATCCTAAATCGGAACTCATTATTGATTGAAAAAGTTTGTTTTTTTTCTAAAATCTTCTCAAAATCTATAGTGAAAAACGCGCCAGTTTGATCAATGCATAGTCTAGATACTTTAGCAAAGTTTCATTTCTCCTACGTTTCTTTTTCGAACGATGAAAATTGCAGGTTTCTACCAATTTTTGTTCTCGAGATATTTAAAATATATCGAATTTATTCTAGTCTAAATCAACGATTTCATTTTTTTAGATAATCAAATAATGATAGAATTTAATATAAGATTTTATTTTACATATGTATTAATTTTTTTCATTTATATAAACAGTATACATTCATATGGTTATACTGAATTTATGAATGATTATGATACAAATGTACAAAGTCAATATTTGCTTGAAAAATTCAATAACAGTATTAATAATACACAGGACAATGCACAAGTCTTTCAAAGCAATACAGCCATAACCGATTCTGGATCTGAACATGATACATGTAAGAATATTTTCATTATTCTATTATTTTATATTCATCTAGAATTGTACCAAAGTAAAATTTAAAAGAAAGAAGAAAAAAAAGCAACAACTTCACATTATCTTTATCTAACTGTAGTTTAAGAGCAGATGAGACATTGATCATTGATATTATGTGTATGAGGTTTCAACGATTTATTTAGATAAATAAATCTACAGAGTTTGAAAACAAGAAAGGAAAAAAAAACGGAAACAATTAAATCCTGAAAAACGGGAGAGATGGAAAGAGAAGTGGTAGGGCTCCTGACTTATGTCTTATGCCCTTCGTAGGAAAGAGTAAAGTTAATTTATGCGAACATGTGTTAGAGTATATGTAAGATTTTCTCTTGATGTATTGTCGTTGCAGTTTTCTGCTCTTGCAATTGATCTTTGAAGAAGAAATGTTGCGTAATTTTTAATCCTGGGAACATTTGTACTATTATGTATGTAATCTGTAGATGTATACGCTGGAAGTCCCAATGATGCTCTCAAACCTTTGTTTTGTATAATCTGAATTCTATTCCATATTTTTTCGTCTGCTCTTAGAAGAATCGATGATCCGTATGTTATAATTGATCTGACTAAAGATTTGTATAGATTAATCATTATGTTATTGTTTGAGTTTGAATTTAATTTTGATAGAAATCTAAGCAAACTTATGCGTGGTGCTACTTTTGTTTCTATATAATGCATGTGGCTCCGCCATTTTAATTGATGATCAAATATTATGCCTAGATATCTCGCTGCTGCTATAGGTTTGATTATTGTATCTTCAACTTGGATGGCTATTTTTTTCTTGTATTTTTTTCTTGGGTGTGGACTGAAGTAAAGCATCTCAGTTTTAGTAGGTTGTATAGTTAGTTTCCAAGTGTTGCACCACTTATAGAATTCATTTACAGATGCTTGTAAACGATGATTAAGGTTGGTGATGGTGTTTGATGAAGACCATAAGGCCGTGTCATCAGCAAAAAGACCATTCTCTGTGTGCTGAGATATACTGTTCATTGAGTCATAAGTATATATTATGTAAAGCAGAGGTGACAGTGGTGATCCTTGTGGTGTTCCGCTTTTTAAAGTAAATATTCTTGATATTGTATTTTCTATCTCTATCACCGCTGTTCGTTGGTGAAGAAATGAAATAATATATCGAATTAAGTATTCTGGAAGGCGAAGATCGTGAAGTTTGTATATTAGCCCCTCATACCACACTGAGTCAAATGCTGCTTTTATATCAAAAAATATAACTGCAGCATGTTGACGTTTATGAAGTTGTTCATGCGCGAATCTTTCAAGTCTAATAATGTTATACATTGTGCTTCTATTAGGTCGGAAGCCTGCTTGATGAATCGGCAAAATATTTCTTTCGTTTAGTTCTTTCATTATTCGTTGTTTGATAATTTTTTCTAAGATTTTTCCTAAACAGCTTAAGAGACTGATTGGACGATAGTTGGATGGTTGCTTTTTGTCTTTATTTGGCTTAAGCAAGAGAATGATGTTGGCTCTTTTCCAGACATCAGGTATATATCCGGTATCAATAACAATATTAAAGATCTTTTCGAGATGTTGAACTAATGATGTTGTATAATTTTTCAGGCAGCGATTATGTATTGTATCTGGCCCGGGTGAGCTATTAGGCAGTTGTTTAAGTATTAATTTTATTTCTTGAGTTGATATTGGAGGTGGTTTATTTTTATTTGTTTGTTTTTTCCCTCTGACTCTTTTTTTAATTGATTCCACCTGTCTTCGGACTTGGTCATGAAATGGTAATCGATCAGGCTTTTCAACAAAAATCTCATTTTCAAAGTATGATGCAAACATATCAGCTTTTTCATAGTCGGTGTTGGCAGTGATATTTTGATATCTGAGTTCACCTGTATATGACTGCTTCGTTCTTTTATTGTAGAATTTACGCACTGCTGCCCACACTTTAGAAGAATTCATCTTGTTTGCACATAATGATGACATGGTACGATTAAGACGATCTATACGATCATTTCGGAGTGAATTGTTTAATAATTCTCTTTTCTTATAGAAGTCCTTTTTGTCGGCGTCATTGTTCGTTTTTTTCCATTGTCGATATGCACGATGCTTATTTTCAATGAGATTTTTAGTTACTTTTGAGATTTTGAAACTTTTAATTGTTTCATTCACTAATGGAATTGCTGCCTTCATTGCTAAGACTATGCTTTCTGTCAAGACAGTAGCATATGTTTCAATTTGTTGTGTTGTTGTAATTATTTGTTTTAAATCAATTTTACTCAAAAATTCATTCAATTTAATTCTATATAATTTCCAATTCGCAGCATTAAAATTGTATGACATTCGAGGGGATATTGGTTTAAGTTCAGCCGACAAGTTTAAGTTTAAGGTTAGTGGTTTGTGATCTTCTTTCAATCCAAAAGATGGATGTGTTTCAACATTGTTAATGAATAGGATGGTGGTATATTATGTGTATACATAGAGAATATTAGATATTGGTAAGAAAAAAACAGGACTTGATACCAATTCGATTGGAGTGACGATCTATTGAAGTTAAATCCAAGAAAGAAAAATGAAAATTCCCGAAGATTATTAGCATTTTATTCAAGAATCTTGATCTATGTATTAAAAGCATACAGTTTTATTCAGCTACATACTCTTTCAATCCAAATAAGTGAACTTTTGATGTTCATTTTTAACGATTATACTCAGCTGTACTACTCCGCGCTATTTCTCATTCGTTGACTATATCCAAGAATTGAAAAATAGGAATCTCTTTTCAATTGCTATCACAACTCTATGATTGTTGAAATAAAAGAAGCACAATATTCACCATATCTTTTGCCTACTTTTATGAATACTAATACTATGAGGAAGTTAATAATCGATTCTCATTTCTCTGAAGAATAACCATATCTCCATTGAATGTTCCTCAAAGACTTATAATTTTCTATTTGTTTGTTGTCGGTTATTCTCATACTTTGACAGTCACACTTTCTTTCATATTAACAGTTCATTCGATAATCATGCATAATGAAACAACAATAACTTCATATCCAGAACCAGAAATTTCTCCATCAGTACCAACGATTGCTGGGATAAAGTTGGCTTCGACAACGGCTACAAGCACTACAACAACTTCTGAGTCCATGGCAACTATCAATTCTACAACAATAGAAAGTACTACAATGCAACTACCATTATCATCACTTAATGAATCTATCAAAACTGTTGATTCTACAATAACCATTAGTTCTAAAATAACAGAAACTGTTACAACAATACCTACTTCTACGGCAACGATTACTCCTGAGATAACGAATTTTTTCTTAGTAACAATTCCAGTTACTACAACCGCTATTTACACTATAACGGCGACTTCTATTACAATGTTTACAACTACAACAACTAGTGTTACTAACACAATTCCTCCATATTGCAACGAAATCAGTGAATTACAATTACCTAATTGCACTTGTGCATCGAAACTTGATGTTCAGGTATGATAGAAAAATATTAGTTTTTTCTTTCTTACTGAATTTTCTTCTTACAGATGTATACAGTCACTATATTACGTAATAGAACAATGAATGCTACTACTATAGCCTATGCTCTTTCATACTATTTCAGTTCAATTGCGAATACGAATTTATCATTGAATCCAAGTTATATTTTATCATCTAGAGAAATCGAGGAATATGTTGATAGTCTCAGTAGTATTACTTTAATTATTAACACTAATACATCATTCATCATGGTACAAGAACTTAATCAACACTTCAACATGACAACTATCGGTGCAAGGGTGTGGGTGTATGGGTGTGGGTCTGGGTGGGCGTGGGTATGGGTCGGTGTGGGTGGGTGTGGGTGTGTAGGTGGGGGTGTGGGTGTGGGTGCGGTGTGGGTGTGGCTGTGTGAGTTGAATGAAAGTAAGATGCATAACGAATCCCACACCCACACCCATCCACACCCACACCCACACCCACCCACACCCATACCCACACACCCACACCCGCTGTACTTAAATGCTTAGATTGTTCGGCACATACTACTAAGCTACTGCATTCTAGTCTCGATGCCATCAGATATACATGGTACGTTCAAAAAGTTTCAGTACTAGTTTTATTATAAAACAACAACAAGCGCTGATGCATTAATATTCTTATCTATGTATAGTTCATACGGTTCTGTATCTATAGACATGATAAGCTCTGCTGAATGAAACGTATATATGAACATATAGAAACATGTTTGAGACCACTCTCCAGACACTGCTAGAAAATCATAAAAATTGAACATCGCTTAACAGTATAATTTCCTGTTCTGTGAGACCATGTCTTATCTAATATGTATGAACATGTAGTGGGTGGGGTGTGTTGATCGATTCCCCACTGATCACTACAGCTTCTGAATTAGACCATCAGTTTGAAGTTGAATTATCGTACATTGATAGCAATTTGAATGTAAATAACATAACTACTAAAACTTTATGGACGCTTGATGGTCGAAAACGGTTGAATCATAACTGGATAAATAGCGAATACTGTTCACATTTTAAATGTATGGTGCAAATCATTTCGTATGATCAATTACGTATTACTAAAGTCAGTTCATGAGAAGACCATACTTTCGGACACGCTATCAATGACGTGTCGACTTTATCAGGAACAATCATTAGTAGTTAGTTATTCGTGTTTAAAACAACGAATTCATTCAAATATCGTAGTATATGATAGAGCATCATTACTGTAAACTATCACTATATATTCATAAATTTTGAAGGACAGCTAGTCTTTCAAAATGTATAACTTTGCTCAAGTTTTAAATGTATGTCAGTGTCTAGAGAGAGGTCTCAAATATGTATCTAAGCTTTCATATGGACCTTTCATTCAGTAGAGCTTATCATGTCTATAGATACAGGACTGTAAGAACTACACATAGGTAAGAATATTAATGCATCAGCGCTTGTTGTTGTTTTTTAATAAAACCAGTACCGAAACTTTTTGAACGCACCATGTATATACACTAGTTGTTTTAGATCTTATGGTCATTCTCAGCCTAAAATCGACAGGAAACCGTGCTCTTTTGGATTTGCAAACCCTAAGAGCGATATAGTCTGCTCGACGGCAAATTTTAATCGAATGATCGAATACATGTATTCTAATAACAGGCACGTAGCCAGAAATTTTCTCAAGGGGGGGAGGATTGACTGTTTTCGGGGGATCACCATATAGAAAAACTGTTTTTCGGCTGGCAAGATTTGATCGACTCGTACCTCCTCCAGGTATTTGTATCTTTCAAGGGGGATCAATCCCCCCCAATCCACCCCCCTCCCCTGGCTACCTCTCTGTCTAATAATAGCTTTTTCTTAGCATTTAGACATCAGATTCAATGACTTTCAAAACTGGTTCTGATCAAAATACAGCTTGTTGAATTCTGCGTTGAATGATATGTCAAAAAAAAAACTATCAGCTATCGTTCGGTGTCAGTTTTAAACGATTGAAGCCGGAATTATAAAAAACGAATCGACTGTTTTTAATAATGTATGACTATGTGTTTCATATGAGGCATGGGAACACCAAAAGGCCACATTGAAAGCTACAGCTGCTATCGATTCAAAATGATGAGAATAGTGGTGCAAGACACAAATCTTTATCAAAGCAGTGAATTATGGTGCAAAGTACACTTTTCGTCAGACATTCTTTTGACTCTTTATTAATATGGACTTTTTTTCTTTTGCGTCCTTATCACTGATATAAGTTAAGAAGCAGTACTTGGATGACACTTCTTTTTGTCAAGCGCAATGGTTGAAATCAACTTTGTTGGTCTTTGGTTTCTCTATGCTGGAATTGTGTTCACCTTCGTTCTCGGTCTCTTGACGAGTCAACGATTGAATTCTGTGCGTTTGTTTCACAGCATTTGTATAAGTTTTTCTCTGTGCGTTTTCTTTCTGCCATGGTTTTTGAAATGGTATTCACCGTGGCCTTTCGCCAGCAGTCAGGTGCTCTTCTCGAGTGCTACTTTAGGTCTTCTTTACCCGCTTAAATTTCTCGAATGGGGATTTGCTCATGATTGGAATGAATTACGAACAATAACAGTAAAGCAAGTAGCAATGGACTGTTCAAGCTATCCTCGATGGAGCTCGTCCGTGGAGAAAAAATCGTCATTAAACATCACAACCATTTATCGTGACAATATTATGATGCTTCTCAGAGCACTTGGTCAATTCGTCATTCTTCGAATAATCATGAATGTAACTCCCGAGCCATGGTTCTCTCTTCCTATGTCATCACTTGTGCCTCTGATTTGGCCAATTCGCTACCTCCTATTCTGTTTTATTCTTTACCTTTGGATTGGAATGGTGACTGACACTGTATTCGGCATCGGTGGTCTTATATGGGGAACGCCGATGAATTCGACTTTTCCCGCTTTTCCATTCGCTTCATGGAGTACTCGGGAGTTTTGGTCTCATCGTTGGAATGTCTTTGTTAAACAACTGTTGCAGCGGACATCCTTTATTATTATACCACATTTCCTTGGAATGAGTCAGACAATGAGTAACGCGATACGTGGTCTGCTGTCCTTTGTCTTATCTGGTATCATTCATGAACTAATTTTCAACATTTGCACAGATCGATGGTCGGGCAAGATCATGATCTATTTTCTACTACATGGACTCTTCGTGACAATGGAGATTCTCTGGGATCGAAGGACAAAAGCGGCTCAATCAACAGCAAAATTTTTTGGATGGTTACGAACCATCGGATTATTTCTTGTTACTTCACCACTCTTTTTTGATCCATGGAGAGAAGCCGGATACTTGCTTGCCTTGAAAAAATCTTTTCCCTGATCAAAACCACAACAAAATAACTTATCTAATAGAAGTTTTAATCAAAGAATGTTTCTGAACATCTATATTGTTTTTTGAAAAATAAAGGATTGTATTTTATTGCTCAGTAACAAATAACTCTTGTACTCAATAAAAAAAAGTTAGCTTTTGCTTAGTAAATAGCTCGAAAAGCTCAGTAACTATTGTCTGTTTAAAAATAAAATGGTCTCCGCCATTTTTCGAATAATCTGAGAACGGAAGCAGCTAATGAGCTGCGATTTTCACCAGTCGAAAGAGACGATACCAAGGCACTTTTTTCTCCAATATTGTGTAAGACGAAATCATTTTAGAATCAATCATTTTTGCAAAACATTGCAAAAAATCCATGAAAATGGTTTGTCGTTCCGATGAATTTTGGTTTTCATATTGTGATTTGGATAGAAGGACCTTAAATCTATAGTTTAAGATATAATCTGAATGATCATCTTCACGTATTATAATGCTAAGCAAATCAAATTCTTTATTTACTTCCGCGATAAGTACGAATTTATCTTAATTTTTAAGGAAATTTTCTTACTCGTTGTGAAAATTTTATCTCAACAAAAGTTCATTTTTGTCTTTTTTCGATGTTTTGTAAAAACCTATTGTTTTTAAAATGATTTCGTGTCATACAATATTAGAGAAAAAAATGCCCTAGTGTCGTCTCTTTCCATTGATGAAAACCGCAGCTCTCTAGCTCTTTCTTTTTTTGAGTTATTGCAAAAATGGCCACAGCCACTATTTTTTTTTAACAGACAATAGTACGTGATATCGTAGAACTTGCATAGAGATTGAGTTGCGGAAGAAAAAATATAACAAAAAAAAAAGAATCTAGATAGTTTCTAAACAAAATTCAAGAACGTTATATAACGATTTCAAATTTTTGTACTCGACCAATGCCATACTCTGAGACAAAAAGATTTCCATGTTTATCGAATAGTAATTCAGATGAACGGTTGATTTGATTTGGTTGTGGATCATATCCATTTCCACCAGCAACAAGTTTCCCCTCTATTACACCTTTTGCCAGCGCATCACTCGATGAAGTTCACTACTGCCACGATAACAGTACCGCACTGATCAACAATGACTCCTCCAGGATAATATGAGTGTCTAGAAGAGTTGCCTGCGCCATGGTCACCTACCACGATTGTTCCTTCTTTGGCATTCTCAGTCCATTTCATCACACGATGATTGTTATATATAGTCTGATACGTACACTGAATGATCGCAATCAACGAAGACGAACGTTGGATAACTAAGTTGATCGAGACGAAAACTATATAATAGTGTATCAGAGAGTATAAGACTGTGTATGATATGTTAGGAACTGTCATGAAAAGAATTAATATATCATAGAAAACACAATTATTATATGATTCAATTTGGGGTGAAGCATTTCTGCTGTAAATGGAACAATTTTTCAATTTGGAGGTTATTGTTCAGCCCTCGTTTATTATGAAGAACATTAAATATGAATCGAGATATGAATAAAATCCAAAATATCACATGATATAATGAAAGTCTACTAGCGTCTAACAGTGGTGAATCTAGGATTTTGGAAGGGAGCGATCATAGGCAATAATTACAGCTTAGTGCTAATTTTAGGTAGTGTAGACTCATTTTTCGTTTACTTTTGCTAGAAAAAATCGAAAAAATTTTCTTGAGGGGGGGAATGAACGTCACTCCACACTCCCCTAAATCCGCCACTGGCGTCTAATAGCGCTCTGATACTCATCCAGAATGAAAACTTTTAAGCGTATCCTGATAATATTTTAAAATTCGACAGGTGACCAAAGAAAAGATTCGTCTATCAATAAAATATGAAAGCGCAAGTTTATTCAATCTATCCTTATTATTATGACAAACAATTTCAAAACATACTAAAAGTTGTTAGCATAGACGGAAACAACTTTTTCGAGATGATTGAACTCTTATCACATGAATTTTCCACTAATCATATTTTATTTGTCATCTTCATCAAAAAAAGTTATTCAAGTCATCATATATATTCAATGGTCAAGCAAGTCTTTATTTCTATCATTCGTATTATGAACAATTGTGTTAACAAATAGAATTTCTACGGAAGAGAAAAAAATAAACGGTTAATACATTCAAAAAATTTATTCAGATTGTCATTAAGTAACATTAAACACAAAATAAAAATAAATAAAGATACAAAACATCTTCTAGATGACATAGGTAATCTTTCTATTTAAAACGATCTTTTGTCATTTTATTTATTAGAATTCGATTCATCATCAATGAAACATGTTCGTCATAGTATAACTTGTTTATTTGATTTACCAGATGAAATTTTACTATGTATTTGTCGTTATTTATCTTCCTATCATATTCTTTATGCATTTTCTACACCTTCTGAACCTGAACAACGTCTTCATCGTATGATATTGGATTATCGTACAAAAATAAAAATTGATGGAATAAAAAAAGATGAATACAGTTATTTATCAAATTTAGTTTTGGATTCTGAAGCTCCTTTACGACCGAAATCACTCATATTAAACAATGAACATGTTACTTGTTCAACGGACTATTATTTTATTTTTACACCTGAAGATGTAATTCAATCGATGTTTGACAATTTAAAATATTTTACATTAACCGATTGCTTGGCAATCGATCTTTAATATTTGAATATATATATTAGAAATTTAACACAACTTCGATATTTTCATATAACTATTCGAAAACTTGATGTAAATGAAAGTATGTTTATTGAAGAGATTCTATCAAAATGAAATTATTATTGTCATTGTATTTAGATATGGGTTACCTTGAAACATGTAATATATTAATTAATCTACTGTTATTCAACGAAGAACAAATCTCTTCTCTTTATACAATAAATTATCAAATTTATAATGGACTTTTATTAAGTAAATCATTGATATTTCATGATAATCTTGGAAATATTAATCTTGCTTTACAAACTATTGATGATTTATATATATTACTTAATGGACTTGTTCCAAATATCCAGACAATGATTATTGAATTATGTCAATCAAGAATACGTTGTAAGTAAAGAGGAACGAAGTTACAAGAAGACGAATTGACTCATCCTCCGTTTCAAACAGAAGTGTATATATTGATGAAAATTTGTTTAGCACAAATTCAATCTACTGTAAAAGCGTTTTCATGGATATCGACACAGATTAATAGAATAGACTTTCACTATAACTAAATGCCTGTATTTTGACAAAAATTTAATCAACACGTTTTACTAGTGTTGCTAAAAATAATCTCATTTGAAAGAGCAAAACGTGCTGCACAAATTTTCTGATTAACAACGAATTATTCAAATGTTACAACCATGTTTTATATGGACTTAATGAGATGAGCGAATAGTATATTCATAAAATAAGAAAAATAATAATACAATAAGTTCAATATAATAAAGAAAAATGAAGAAAAGAGAATTATATCAGCGCGTATAGCTCAAAGAAAACTCTATTGAATCATTAAGAGGAGACTTCATCATCAAGCTATTTTAGAAGCACTTTCGAAGGCTGAAACCTCATGACATACCTAAAAATATCTATACAAGTTACAGTTTTTTCATGAAAAATTCAGTTTATATATGGCATTAATAAATGGTTCATATATAAATTTGTGTAGCACAGTTTGCTTTTTCAAATGAGACTATTTATAGCTAACAATACCAACAAATCTTGTGATTAAATTTTTGTCAAAATATAGTCTAGTAATCTGCGTCGATACCCGTTAAAACGTTTTCACAATAGACTGAGTATGTTGCTAAACGGTTCTTCATCGAATTCTGCATCGATATATATATTTTTATTGGAAGACTGAAAATGGGTCAATTCATTCTCTTATATACTCTCATCATCTGTGAAAAGAAATTATTCAAATGATCATTTATCTAACTTTGAATATATTTCTATTGTAACTGGTCATCATCCTCAAAATGCACTATGTAGATGTTTTCAATTAAGTGAATTTACATTATTCGACTCATGTAATGAATTTGTTATTTCAGATATTAAATCTATTCTTGCTTATATGTCAAATTTAATTAAATTAACCTTAAGCATTCATGACACATTTGATCGATTATTTTGTCATGGTCCTACTTTTCAATCAATTTTAAGTGAATATCTTCCACATCTTCGTTACTTTGATTATACAATGACTCATCTAACTGGTAATCAAATATTAATTGAAGACTTTGTTCGATGACCAATGAATGTTACATATTATGGTTGGGAATATTGTAGATGGATACATATTTATTCTTTACTGTGGCCATCAAATAAAAATAATAAACGACAATTACCTATTGTTAGAGTTGGATCAGATCCATCAGTATCATCCGATATTAATAGATCGAAATATATTAAATATATAATAATTAAAAAAGACGAACAATTTACTCTCTTAAATACAGAATTTGTTCATGTTTGTGAAATAAGAAGTTCTATTTCGATTGATATTAAATTACCATAACGTATTTCCAAATTAATTTTTACAAGACAAACATGTAAGTATATTTATGAAAAAAAGAAGATGAGTGCTGATTAAATAGTTTTAGCTATATTTTTAATAAATTCAGTAATTCAACCTTCTGTTCGTCATTTAATTGTTGAACGTTGTTTGAATGATGAAAAAGAGATGTCAATTCTTGCTCATCAATTTCCAAATGTTAAATATTTAAAATTAGATCTTCCATTAGATAAATTTTCATGTATTAATTGTTTAAACATTTTACTCAATCGTGATGATAATATTCAAAATAAACGTTTTTATTGGACAAAATTAATCTACTTTTCAACAGAATTATTTCAAACACACAAAAGTATCATTTCAAATGAAATAAATTGTATGATTTCTTCATTCGACATGTACGTGTAAATTCAAAATATGACAAAAATTTTCTTAATTCTTGTTATTCTTCAACTGTCAATATTTGGTATTGACTATTTTAAGATTTAAATAAAGATTCAATACTAAATTCATCAAATATTCTTAACAAAACTAATGGCTATCGTGTAACATCAATGATTCGTTCATTGAAGGAGATTTTCAACAAAAATATTTTTATTCAACATAATCTTTCATCTGAAAGTTTTCGATGATTCTTTTCTTTAACTTTCGAAAATTTTTTAATTATAAAAAGAAAATCTACGTAAGAAAAGTTAGCAGCAGATTCGAGTTTTTCCTGCAGACATTCGCTCTTAGAGTTGGGTTGAGTTTCTAGTTGCTTGGGTTAAATCCAGAATTAAATTCTGCATCGAATGGTGACATTTTCGACAGGGGTCGTCGACCAAAAAAATGAGGGTTTGCTACAAAATACTGGGTTTTCACCCTTTTTGCTAGTAATCCCTGCAGACATTCTCTTCTCGATTTGGATTGAGATTCTAATTAGTTCGGTTAGATGCAGAATCTAATTCTACATCGAATGGTGATACTTTCAAGGGGGTCATCAGCCAAAAAATGTGGATTTCGCTCGGAATACTGGATCTGAGACCCGTTTTCACTAATAATCCTTGCTGATATTCGTTCTAAGACTTGGGTTGAGTTTCTAGTTGCTTGGGTTAGATACAAAATTCGATTCTGCATCGAATGGTGACATTTTCAACAGGATCGTCGACCAAAAAATGGGGGTTTGCCCCGAAATACTGGGATCTTGACCTATTTTTGCCAATTTTTCCTGCAGACATTCGCTCTAAGATTTGGGTTGAGCTTCTAATTGGTTGAGTTAGATGCTGAATTGAATTCTGCATCGATTGGTGACCTTTTTTCACAGGGTCATTGGTCAAAAACTTCGGGTTTGGTCCGAAATACTGGGTCTCGAAGTGCTGTTCGACAGTAATCCTTTGCTGATATTGGCTCCTATGCTTGAGTTAAGTTTCTTGTTGATTGGGTTAGATGTAGAATTTGGGTGTGGGTGTGGGTGTGAGTGTGGGTGAGGGTGTGGGTGTGGGTGTGGGTGTGAGTGTGAGTGAGGGTGTGGCTGTGGGTGTGGTTGTGCGAATGACGAGAAGATTCACACCCACACCCACGCCCTCACGCACACCCGCACCCACACCCTGATTTGTCTTCACTCTCTTCGTTATTCTTGTGGAACTTAGAGTCACTGCTGTCAAGAATATCTTTTCGTAATGCTGAAGGTGAATGTTGTTGTTCTTCAACCTTCTTCTTCTTTTTCTTTTGTGGAAACTTTTCCTGTATTATGATCTCTTTATCTACTTGTGTGTCAGTGTCGGATTCCTCGTCGATGATTGCTGTTACAGTAGATGTTTTTTCAGGCTGTTTTATGACTCTTTCTGTATTCGAACTGATGATATTCGATGACACTTGAGTAATAGTAGTATTCGACATTGATGTAGTAGAAGTCATATGACGAGAGTTAGATTTACTATAATGAGTAATCACTGACCGCCAGCTAGACCATAGTTTATTACACACACCACATCTGTATTCAAACATATTTATATTAAGGGATGTGGGTGTGGGTGTTGAAAAAGGGGAGAATCACACCCACACCTACACCCACAGGCACATCTACACGCACACCCACACTCACACCCACACCCGCACCCTTGACGACGAGCTGGTAATCTTACAATAATCATGAATAAAGTATCATACTCTTCATAAGCTCAAAAACACGCATTCAGTCGATTATAAATCTCATTTAGGGTGAAGGCATCAGTTTTCGGAATATTGCTTTGATAGAATACGAAGAGCTTGAAACTGTCACGACCAATTTTGCCATTCAGCAAGTGAGGGTCTCATCAGATAGCAGTATACTCTGCACTAGATTTTACTTCGTATTTTAATAATAATGAATTGTTCCATATTTCAAGCATAACTTTAGTGCGCAAACACAATATTCTCCTTTGATTTTTCGGTAAGAAAGAGAAATTGCAAGTTGCAATTATTCATCGTTGACATTTATAGGTCTTCCACCTACGTCTCTTAAATAAACAATCATTGTTTTTCTTTCATTCAATTTGCTGCATCGTAATTCTACATCAGCAAATTTTGAAGCGATCTTCATGCCACCTTTCTATTGCCGTCTTTTTCTTCTTCTTCCGCAGCAGCTGCTACTAAGAGCGAACGAGACTTCAACGGCTTTGGTTTTGTTCGCTGTCGCTTACAATTGCGTATATTTACATTCTAAAAAAAACAGCCAACGTTATGGGCTGCCAATCGAAGTAACCAAACATGGCATGTTATTCACATATCTTCCTTTAGATTGCACATATTCAAATGTGCAACAACAAAAAGGAAGAAAAAAAGAGACCTTATCGCAACTTCATAAAATGGAAAAGACGCAGAAGCAGTCAATACTCACCTATCTACCTGGTGTATGTGCCGATATTGATGACACGGCTCGATGATTCTCCTTTCTTCTCTGTCTGTTCTCTTTCCATTGTTCTAATATATCACTCTCCTGTCTGTGTTGATATTGATGACACAGTTCGATGATTCTCCTTCCTTCTCTGTCTGTTCTCTTGCCGTTGTTCTAATATATCTCTCTCCTGTCTCTCTTCTATCTCTCTCCTATATATATGCGTATTATGCATGAAGTTGTTACACTCTGGATATGTGAAATAGCTGAATAAACATCATTGCCGAGAATGGCGAAAAGCTATTCAATCCAGTTTGTCGTTACAGTGTACAAACAATAATTTTTGTATAATAGTTTGTCCACTTCTTAAATAATTTTTTACGATCTAACTTTGTTGTTGTTTAACAGAACTGAAAGTAAAATCAGCAACGATGGAAAAAAGTGTTGGAGTTTGATCGATGATAGAACATTCACCATCAGGATGATAATATTTACTATCGGTGCCCATTCATTAGTTCTTAAGCAGCTAACAATCATACATTAGGAACTAAATTCTGTCTCTTTGACGATACATAGAAGATATGTAAAAATATGAGAGTGTTATTCGTCACATTTTCGTTTTCTATTTTGGAAATTGTCCAATTTCAACTGCTTTCAGCAGTGATCTTCTTCATGCAATGATTTTTCTGCACAGGTTATATACAGTTACAAGCTTGAATAAATAAAATTCAAAATTTCTCCGGACTTGATCAAGACAACCTGTTTTTGAATAGACTGTTACATTGTCGCATAATTGAAAATTTATTTTTTTTTTAGTATTGTAAAGTAAACAGTGCAACAAAATCACCGATGACTGTAACATGGGGTAGAAATCATGGCACGATAGTAATCAAAAGAAGTCTCCGCTATAAGAAAGCCATCTCGGCGCTCTAATCAACTTTCTCTATGTCAGCCGGCATATTTATGTATTCACTCTATTCATCAAGGTAAAGAAAAACAGTTGTGATGACGATCGGCGTAAACATAAAGTATATATAAGCGAGATGGTAGTCACAAAAATTGCTTCATCTGTTCGACAACCACCAAAATTCTTTCACACTTGATCATCAAGTAAGTAACTGCACATTGAAGCATATCGGCCGAAGGAACTTGGAATTAGTTCTCTCTTGGGTTCCTATAGATTGGATAAATCTACTAGATAAAGGAAACTTCTGTCAAATCATTAGTTTGTCTCTGTCGTCTTCCTACTGTCCTTCTTCACTTCATTTAATAGGATACTCTGTGTCTATTTCGTTGATAAAATAAGGGAAAACATCCTTTCACTTTTAACTTCAAAGATTGACGATCTGAGTCTCCGCCAAGCACCGAAAAGACTACCTGCAATTATACTATAACTGCTTCTCGGGTCATGCTTACTGAGTTGGAAAAGAATTAGCAAGAAGCAGTCAAAATCCAGTTGATTACGTATTTTTCGATAAAGAACCAATCGATTCCGTGATAGCTCTAACGTTTAAGATGGTTAACTCGGACTATATCGACATTCTTATTGTATGACTACTTTATTTGAAAAGTTTTTTCTCTCATCAAGTTAGAAAATGGAGCAATGCATTGATTGTGCGGCGAGCTCATGAGCTGACCCTCGGATGATTCACTTACATCTTGAAAATGTTCTATGCGAGTATCAACTATGAGTTCGGTTGAAGTTTCAGAAACAGTTGAAATTGGTTCATGGGTTGACGTAACCCGACTTAACCGCCACTTTTGATGCTCACTGCTTAGGATAGAGTAAGGTGCGGTAATTGGAGCAGGCTTTTGGACTTCACACTCAGGTTACAATATATCTTTCACATTTTAAAATTAGCGCAATCCCTTGCGGGATTAAAAATGTGAAACGCGATGGCCCTACTGTTACTAATTAAATGTACTTCGTTTTCCGTTTCTTTACGATAGATTTCTAGCTTATTGTTTTCGTTTTTGATCTTTCAAAACTACAGTTTCTCTGTAACAATCTGTGAGGGGTTTAGATATTCTCTGTCACAGTCTGTGACGGTCTCTGAGGGTTCTCTGCCACGGTCTGTGATGGTCTTTAGGTGTTCTCTGTCACGGTCTGTGATGGTCTCTGAAGGTTCTCTGTCACGGTCTGTGATGATCTCCGGTGGTTCTCTGCCACGGTCTGTGATGGTCTTCAGAGGGTTCTCTGTCACGGTCTGTGATGGTCTCCGTAGATTCTCTGTCACGGTCTGTGATGGTCTTCAGGAGGTTCTCTGTCACGGTCTGTGATGGTCTGTGGGGTTCTCTGTCACGGTCTGTGATGGGTCTGGAGATTCTCTGTCACGGTCTGTGATGGGTACTAGGGTTTCTCTGTCACGGTCTGTGATGGGTCCGGAAGTTCTCTGTCACGGTCTGTGATGGGTCCGGAAGTTCTCTGTCACGGTCTGTGATGGGAATTGGGGTGTCTCTGTCACGGCCTGTGGGGGGAGGGGGTGGGTCCAAATTTCTACCCCTAAACACTTCAACACTCCTTTCAGATCGTATTTCACAAAATAGAGGTTTA